AGCTAGAGAGGGAGCACAGGTGCCCTTTGGACTCAATCCTGGCTCTGCTGCAGGCTTTATCCTGTATTGACAATGTTGTCCTTTCAACAGCCCTCAGCCTCGAGTTTCTTCACCTCATTTACAAATGGAGGTGAGTTGAAACTCAAACTCTCGGGGTGTCCTGTGTCCAACCTTTTCTTGCAGGTAGGAAAACAGAGATGCAGCAAATTATCTACTTCTACCAGCCACACTGGAGTGCAGGGAGAAATGGATTTGAGATCCTTCCAAGCCCCTCTTACCCTGGTATAGCAGGAGGAGAACTACAGCTCTGGCTTCCCTTGCAGGCACCTTCACAAGGGGGTCCTTGAGCCTCGGACCTTGCCAGGTGATCTGTTCTCTTTCCATGAGTGATCAGCCTGGCTTTTGATAATTTCACATACCCAAACAGAACAGCCTTCCTATCTTATCTTCCGGCATAAATCTTACTTTACTAAGTGGGAGTGAGAGATCAAAGGACACTGAGGGTGATGGAGAGCAGAGACCCAAGTCTGCAGAGACACCCAGCACCAGGCAGCAGCTTGGGAAGGAGGCAGAGCCCTGGGACCTGCATGCAGAAGAGCAGATCAGCTTCAGGACTGTCCTGCAGGAGGCCAGGGCACAGTGAGCAATGTGACAGCTTTCTGCACTGCTCCCAGCCCTGTGAAGAGGAGAAGGCAGAGAGGGTAATGCTGCCGCTGATACTATTTCACCACCAGGCAGGATGACTGAGACAAGGAGCAGTTGGAGAGTTTCGTAAGTCAGCAGGAGGCTCACCAGAACCCATCCTGAGTAAGGAGGGGTGGACAACCAGCACTTCTCTCTCACAGAGCCAGTTTTCAGCATGCAGGGCTTAGGTTCATCAGATGAGGCTGCAGGATAGGAGGGACATTGGATCTGTTCAACAGCATCATGCCTGGAGGCTGTGATTCAGGCTGGACCAGCAGTGACCCACTTCACACGTGAGCTGCTGCTGCTTCCCTGCTCACAGACCATGGTTTGCCATCAGGAGTACCAGCCCCATCCACTCCAGATCCAGCAGTTTTCATTTGATTCGGATCAGACACCCAGGCACAGCTCCTGGCAGGGCAGACCAATGCCTGCTTCCAAAGCCATCTGTGTCCCTGACAGAAAGTAGGGATTGTAACCTTTAGACTGCTAATTTGTGTGAAGCAGGTCAGAAAAATTTCCTGATAGTACAGGTGATGGGTAAGAAAGACCTTTGTCCCAGGTAGGGCTTGGGATTTCAGCACACAGAGTGCAGATCCATGGACTTTATCCTCCCAGGTGGCACTTTCCTCTTGAGGTGTTATATCAATCCTGGATCTGCCCACAGGGGCCTAAACAGTGTTTTTGTGGAGGCACTGGCATGTAGTAGGCAGGAAGGTGCAGGCTGGTGGGAGTGTGGGGGTGGAGCAGGAGGATCTCTTCAGTTGGGTCTGTCACAGAGACAAGGACAAGGACACCTCCTCCCTGATCCCTTCTGCCCTGGAGACACCTCCACCAAAAACAATCCCCAGCAAAGCTGCCCTGCCTGGCCCTGCCTGCAACCCACAGTCCCACAGAACCCTCTTGCAAGACAACGGGGTTGTTTCACAAGGCTTTTTGCAACGGGCTTAACCAAACTACTGTGTGGAAAGAGGTGTGAAACCAGCAGGAATGGGGGCAAGTGGCCACAGCGAGTCCTCTGGGCAACGGCCTTGCCCTCTGCTGTTCCCTGTCTCACCATTCACCTGCTCTCCACAGCCTGGGTAGGTCCAGCTCCTGCATTCGTCCTCTGCAAGGTCAACTCCTTCCTGTGGCTGGTGGTGTTCAGGCAATCGTGAAAAAGTAAACACCAAAGACAAAAGCTTTTATTGTGGAGCTGCCGAGTTTGGCTGCCGTGGGGAGGGCTGGGGGGAGATAAATATTGCTAAACCAGAGTTTCCAGGCAGCCCAGGCTTCCCAGTAGACAGGATTCACACCTCCCTTCCCACATCTGCTAATACCAGTAGGTCATGCCAGGGAACAGGAGAAAGCAAGGGCAAAAATCACCGGTAAAATTGCAAAGGGGACGAGTTTCACAGGTGCAAAAGCTGGTCTGTCCTCCAGCATCTCGGACAGCGTGTTCAAACAACCCCACTCCACGTCTCAGGAGTTCCCTGCCCTCAGTTGCAGCTCAGAGCTGGCCACCCCACACATGGCAGTGAAGCCTGTGAGGGAGCTTATGTGAACCCAGTAGTTTAATCTCCAGGATGCTCCCACGCCTCTCCTGGGGAGCTGGTTCCTGGGGCTGTGCTTACACACCTGGAACTGGGTGAATGTACCCTCCACGTGTCCTTGCTCCATGTCCTGTCTCTCCTCTTTCCAGGGGAGAGATGGCTTGTCTTCTTTTAGTAGGAGCTAAGTCCCAATTTGTTGGATAGCATTCCATCCCAGCCTCCTTTCCAGGGAAAAGACAGCCGCAACCAAAAATTAATATATACTTTCTGCTGGAAGGGTAATAAATGCAATAAGGCCTGTGCTGCATTAATATGCAAACTGGTAATAAGGTTTTGTAAGTATCAAGTGTCATTTGAAGATTTTAATGAGGCCAAGCAATGTTTCTGAAGCTGTTTTCTCAGTTAATGTTTAACAGGACGACCACGGAGTCAAGGACCAGGAGTTGATGTAGATCAGCAGAACAATGTATATTGTGTCTGCTTGGAGGTCCTGGCTGGGCAGTATCACTTGCAAAGGCATATGTAAATAACATCCTAGGGCAAGGAAAGCCGTGTGGGAGGGAATTGCCTGCACCTCCAGGCAGCAGAGCAGCAGCCCCTGCTCGTGCCCACGTGTGAAGTGCCCTTTTCCCACACCCTTCATCACCCCCTTTGTCACTTGGGCTTGCTGGTGTGGCACAAAATGATCCAGAGGGTTTTATTTGGTTTGGGTTTGTTAGTTTTTTCCCATTTTGTGGAGCAAACTGCCTCATGGGAGGCTCTGCCAGATGTTGGGGTGCTGGAGCATGTCCAGAGAGGGGCAATGGAGCTGGGGAAGGGTCTGATGAGAAGCAGCTGAGGGAGCTGGAGGGGCTCAGCCTGGAGAAAAGGAGTCTCAGGGGGGACCTTCTGGCTTTCTGAACCTCTCTGACAGGAGAGTGGAGCCAGGTGAGGTCAAGCTCTGCTCCCAGGGAACAAGAGACAGGACAAGAGGAAACAGCCTCAAGTTACACCAGGGGAGGTTTAGGTTGAATATTAGGAAAAATCTCTTCACCAAAATGGGTGGTCAGGCACTGGCACAGCTGCCCAGGGCAGTGGTGGGGTCACGATCCCTGGAGGGATTTAAAAGCCATGTAGATGTGGCAGTTGGAGACATGGTTTAGCAGTGGCCTTGGCAGTGCTGGGGGAGCAGTTGGGCTTGATTATCTTAGAGAGCTTTTCCAACCTAAACGAGTCTGTGATTCTCTGTGAGGAGGGCAGCGTGGCTGGGGCAGAAGAGGCTGTGGAACGACAGCTGGTGATTCACTCTCTGCATCCAGAGAACTGGAAAGGGCTCTCTAATGTCTCCCACAGCTCTCATCAGCAGAAGGTTTCATTTGAGATACACTTCAGGTTCTTCAGACAGAGCAGAATAGATCCTGTTTTTCTCTTGCCCAAGAACACAGCATGTCATGTAACTAATTTAAATAATTTCTTCCTGGTTGAGCCTCATTAGGGACCCAGCATTAAACTGGCCTGATTAGATCGACTAATCGATGCGGGGAAAGGGAAGCTGGTTTCAGCACGCAGGGCAGCAGGGGGGCAGGGCCAGGCTGCTCCACTCCCCGGGGACCACCACTGTCCCCAGCCACCCCACCTCGTGCCCACGCTGTGCCCTCACCGCTGCCCACCACCGTGAGTCCCACTCACGTGCCAGGGGCAGGGATGGTGACTGAGAGTCCGACCTGCGTCCTTGACCTGTTTTATCTGGGCTCTCCCAGGCGCTGTGCTCCTGTCTTTCCCGTGCACGTGTCCCGTTATCAGCAGAAGGGGACAGGCCCCCTGCAATGGTCCTGGTCCAAGCCTGGTGCCCCGTCCAGTCCCTGTAGGGAAGGGGAGTGGGACCAGAAGGGTGTGGGGGCAGTGGGGCCCTGGGGGTCTCTGGTGGGGCTGAGACTCTCTGGGTCCCACAGCTCCCAGCCCTGGCCCTGAGCAGGCAGTGAGGCCTTAGTGGGGCTGCAGCTGCACCCTGAGACGTCCTGTGCCCACTCTGACCCCTCTGTCCTTCGTTTAACCCCCTGCTCAGCCCCCCCTCGGCTGCACTGTCAGGGATCCCCCTCCCCACGGGCAAGGACGGGACCCTGTGGGTCAGACCGGACACTTCCAACTTCAGGCCCCTTGGACCCCACTCACCCAGCTGGGGCCAGGGCAGGGGCTGGGACAGGGACAGGGACAAGGGGCAGGGACAAGGGGCAGGGCAGGGGCTGGGACAGGGACAAGTGTCAGGGCAGGGGCTGGGACAGGGGCAGGGAAGTAGCTAGGACAGGGGCAGGGACAAGGGCAGTGCTAGGACAGGGACAGCGGCAGGCACCGGGGCAGGAGCAGGGAAAAGGGCAGGACCAGGAACAAGGGCAGGGAAAGGGGTAGAGAGTGTCAGTAGCAGGGCCAGGGGCAGTAGCAGGGATAGGACAGGACCAGGGACAAGGACAGGGGCAGAGACAGGGGCAGTAGCTGGGACAGGGACAGGAACAAGGGGCAGGGAAAGGGGCAGTAGCAGGGACAGTGGCAGTAGCTGGGATAGGGACAGGGACAGGATCAGGGACAAGGACAGCGGCAGGGACAGGAGCAGGATCAGGGACATGGACAGCGGCAGAGAGAGGAACAGGGGCAGTAGCCGGGACAGGGACAGGGGCAGGGACACGAACACGAACGGGGACAGTCCCCAAGGCCGCGCCTGCCGCTCCCTCCGGCCACGCCCCTTTTGACCACGCCCCTTTGCGGGCGTGTCCCGTAACCGTGACGCGCTCGCCCCGCCCCGCGGGGGCGTGTCCCGAGCGCTGCCCGTGACGTCAGGAGCGCGGGGTGCGCAGCAGGTGCGGGGCGAGCAGGGCGGAGGTACCGGGGGGTCCCTGCGGGGCCGGGCGGGGGGTCCGGGACGGGGACACCGGGACGGGGACACCGGGACGGGGACACCGCCAGGGCTCGGCTGGGCACGGCCGGGCTCCGCTCGGCTCCGTGCGGGGGGAGCTGGCGCGCCCGGGTGGGAGCGGGTCCGGGCGCGGGGGTCGCGCTGGGGCTGAGGAGGATGAGGAGGATGAAGAAGAGGATGAGGAGGGCGAGGAGGAAGGCTGGGGGTGAGCGGCGGGAGCCGCCGCACCGCCGGGAGCCCGCGGTGGGTGACAGCGCTGCGGAGGGGTCGGTGCGGAGGGGGGGGGGAACCAGCGAAGCCCCCCGGGCGCTCCCCCCGCCCCAGCCCGGGGGTCCCTCGCTGTGTGCAGCCCCAGCGAGGCGATCGTTGTCCCGGTTTATAGACAATTCCCGGCTGCCTGGCGGGGCTGGGGGCTGCCAGCCCTGCCCTGTGCGCGGGGAGCTCGGGAGGGCCCGGGCGGGGCTGTTTGTGCAGCTGGGGGGGCAAGGAAGGGCATCCAGAGCAGATGGGCACGGCTCGAGCTAAAGCCGGGCTTATTTAGTGCGGGGCGAGACGCGAGCGAGCAGTCGGAGTAAAAAAAATAATAATAATAATAATAACGCCGCATCGTGTGTTCGAAAAGCCTTTATGGTTGTCCTGGATTATACGTTTCCTGTTCCTATAGCTGAGGAGACCTCATTTGGATAATTAAGTGTCGTGGTGAAACAGGAGAATGAGGAAAAGGGGGGTTACTCGCCTCCTCTCCTCTGCCACATGGATCTGCCACCCCGTCTGGTGGCGGTGGACAGATCCTCTCTGTGCGGGGTAGTGCCGAGATCTGTCCCCGTCATCCCAGATTTGTGTTTAGCTTTGTCTGAAAGGGGGGGGGGGGGGGGGGAAGAAAAAAAAGTGCTTTTTCCTTTTGATGCCTTTGCTACGAGACGTGTGTGAACAACCTGATTGTAAATAGGGTAAGTCCGGGTAAGGTAGTAAGTGTGGGTGAGTTAGAATGTCTGTGCTGAACAGCTGCTTTCTCTTTGTGCTGTGGTAAACACGGGGTTGGGATACGAGATGTGGGAAGTGCTGCTGTGCCAGGAAAGGGGTATTTTTCACCAGTTGCTTTAACAAAAACTGACTCCTCGTAGAAACTTTTGGTGATGATGATAATAATATTACTACTTCAGATAGGCTGATGAGGCTGAGACCACTGATTTTTTGCTCAGTGAGTTTTATTGATCCTGTTTCAGGGCTTTTTGGGGACAGTCAGGGATTAATGTGCATGTTAGATAATAATCTTCTGCTGCACAGAATAGTGGTTTTACCAAGCCATGAAACTTCTGTAGCACGAACTCTGCCTCTTATTCATGTGCTATAAAGGCCATCTTTGTTAAATACTGATTTGTCATTCCCCGAGTGGTGTGAGAGCTGTAACTGATAATCTGCAGAGGCTCGTGGTTGTCCTTGCTGCAGAGGTCGAAGGGAAGAGGAGAATGTCCTGTAAAGGAGTGGCTCCCACAGGGGTGGGGGCTCTGCATGGGCTGAGCAGACCCTGCCCTGGCGTCAGTCAGAGGAGAGAGCTCCAGAGTTTTGCTGCCCTGTGTCCCCCCCGCCCAGGTCCGTGTTACATTTAAAATTGGCAGTGGTTTGCTGCTCAGAAAACAGGAGGTGTTCTGTGAGCGTAAGCAGAGGTGTTCCTGCTCACAGCGTTGCACTGGGATGATGGAAGTACCTGGAGGGCTGTGTGTGCCAGAAGCAGAGGATCTGCCTGTTCTCAGGGGTATTTCTATGCATGATCAGATGAATATGTTACCTAATTTTTTTCTGTGAGGGCAGAGCTTGTGTAACTCTGGATTTTCAAGAAGCAGGCCTGCATTTCTGCTGTCCCCTCTTTGTGATCTCCCTGTGGCACGGCTGGAAGCTTAGCAGGGCTCCCTGAAAACTTTCTCGTGGTAGCTGAAGCCTTGAATGAGCAGGTTCGTGTGCTGCCGTCAGTATTGATATTTTCTACTCTCTCGGTGCGTGTTCTGTCTTTCCCAACTTCCTGCTTCTGACCTCAAACCCGGTGGCTCAATGAGTAGAAAATAGCCCCGTCATTTCTGGGAACAGGGAAAGATCGGAAGGAGCCGGAGTCATTCAAGCACACGGTCAGTGTTGCCAGGCCTGGCGTCCTGCCGGCAGCAGCTCGGCTTCCCGCAGGCAGCCAGGAGCCTCCCAGGCTGCTCTCCCTGGGTGGGAGGCTGCCTTCTCCACATCTTGGGGTGAAGTGCTTGGCCTCACACCCGTGAAGGGCAGGCAAATGCCGGGCTGCCCTCACCCCGTGTCCCAGGGAGCTTTTCCCAGCTGGGACATAACGACGTGGAAGTGCCACCACCCCACTGCTGTGCTCCAGTGCCTGCCCAGGACTGCAGGGAGCTCCAGGGAATGGACCTCCTTGGAAGTGTCTGGTTGTATTCCTTATGCCAGGCACTGCTGGACAAAAGCTGCTGTTTCTGTCACTTACGTATCAGAAAGGGATATTTCCCCCCTAAGATTATAGCATATTCTTGAGGTATTATTTGATCTTACCAGCTATTGAGGGCAGTGCCTTGAAGTGTAAAAGCTTTTCAGCCTCTGACAGGGCAAGGCAAAGGCTTTCTTGGGTTGGTGACAACTGGTGTGGGATGAACTGGCTTGTGCCCTGTGACAAGCAGCCATTAAAGAGGATTCTTGCATATGCCCTACAGGCAAAGTAAAGCATCCTGTTAGAGCAGCAAGTAGGATGAGGAAGAGCAGAAAAAGTGAGAAAACGTAAGGGAGGAGAAAAAAATCTCGATCTCATTCCACTTTCCAGCCTCTCACGACAGTCCTTCTGAGTAATGAGATCTCAGCTGTAGAAAGTGCCTGTATTTCTGTCCATGCACATGCCAAAGTAGCCATGCCAGGGATGTGTGTGCTGCCCTAAAATCTGGGGAGCATCTTCCACTAAATCCACCAGTGTATCGGAGCTGGGGAGGTTACCCTGAAAGAACACTGCTGTTCCATGGCTGGAGTGCTGCCAGAACACCATCTGAATAACATATGAATGTATTATCTGTGCTTATTAATTTTCTTGCCAGTCATACTGTTTGTTTCACATGCTCTTCTCAGTGGGACCAACAAAGCTTCTTTCTTTAACTATTATTTGCAGGTCTAGTTTAACTTGGCAATCAGATGTTTTCATTGATTTTTTTTTTGTTTTGGTATTTATTTCACCTTAAAACTGCCAACGCACCACTTGAAGAGCAAACTATAGTCATGTATTTTTGGAATTACCTAAAGGCAGCACATTATGCAAAGACTTGAACAAGAGCAGTGCCTGCAAAAGCATTTAAAACCTGAAAACAAGATGTTAACGCTCCTCTCTGTAGTGATTTCTGTTTAAAGGTGCTTTTTGGTGTGTTTTGCCACAGGCACTTCTGTACCTGGGCAGAGTCTCACCTGGTGTGTCAGCAACAAGTGCCATGGCTGACGCCACCCAAGGGGCTGTGCAGTGGTGTTTTCTGTCATTATGATTATTAGTCCCTGGTGTTTAAGTATATGTTCTTAAAACCTTTCATCAAATGTCTGAAAAAACTTGACAAGTTTTCCCCATGAGGGTGCAGTTCGTGTAATAACAGTAGCAGGGCAATGGATTTGATTTTTTTATTATTATTATTTTTTACTAACGTTTTTATTGTAGGAACTACACTGTGTCAGCTTCATACTTTTCTTCTGCCACGCAGAACATGTAGGTGGACAGTGTGTTGCAAGCAAGAAAACTGGGCAGTAAGTGGCAGGTGTAGTGTTTCTGAAGAGGTTTGTGTGTTCCTGACAGTTGACAAGACATTGAAATTTGTCTGTAGAGGGAAAATCCTGGTATGCAAACCTGGGTGCATTGGTGAGAGTTCTGTGGAGACAGAGGAGCAAGGATAGACCTGTGACTGTGAAGCTCTACAAAGGACAATTCCTCTGAGGCAAAAACTGCTGTGACTACAGGCCCTTTAAAGCTGATGAAATCCTGGTGTTTGAAGCCAAAATCACCTGGAAATGTGCATATCCATCATGGCTTTGCCAAAAAGGCAGGGCAGACGATGGGACTGGAGAGGTGGGACAGTCTGTAGGGACACCAGTGTCAGCCTCAAAGATCAGGTGCACTCTCCACTTGCACACACGGGCAGACTTCAGGCCTCTGGAGGGCTTGGAGGCTCCCAGGAAGAAGGAATACCCAGCTCAGGAACTCAGAAGGTTAAATTCTTGTTCACCCAAACTGCTGTTCACTCCACAGAGCTGCCTGACCTGGTGGCAGCAGAGTTGTTTTGTGCAGGAGATGCCTGGCAGCCACTTGACTAAACATGAGGAAACACACCTCTTCCCAAGGACCAGGAGTGTCCTGGAGCTCCAGACACCTCTTAAGGCAATGGGTTTGAACAGGGGAGGGGTTTTTAGCTTTTGCTTTGGCAGTACAAAGCTGGGCTCTTCACTTCTGCTCTTCATACAGGCTCTTCACCTGTATTTTATGAAGTAAAGCAGTTCTGAGCACCTTTTGTCAGAAAAGGTGGGGGCAGTTCTTGTGCAGTTCCCCTTCAGCTATTACTCTAGGGGAAGTGTTACTCTGCTGCTGAAGTGGGAGGGCAAACCAGGGAGGAAGCTCTTCCTGGAAGCGAACTGAGCAAGAATGGAATCTCTTACAATTTATCCTTACCATACCTTTCATGCAATCACTAAATGGACCTGGCAAATAAGCTGGTAAGAGGGAAACGCGGAGCCAGTGCCATTTAAGAGCCACTTGTGCTCTTTTTTCATTTGGATGCTGTTCATATGAAATGTAATTTAAATGCTAGGCCGGTTGCCAGGAGCTGGATTGTTGATGTTAAATGTACTTTCCATTAGAGCTCTGTATTGGAAAACGACTTCCTAGCGCTGCAGGCATTGGAAGGGGTGGGTTACATCAGGGTGCCCCAGTTGTCC